AAGTATCAGTGGTTAAACCATTGCACGTTATCAAACTGTTGTGTAGCGTTTATCACTAAGATGAAATCTGTCTTTCGAATGTCGTCATGTCTAGTGCGTTCACCACATATCTTGTTAATGCACTCCAGTGAGAACAGATTCTAAGTGAGTAAAAATACTTTCTACAGTTCAAACGGGTGTTGTGTCGTCAGTTGCAGGTGGTTGTCTCGGCTTTGTTTGTAAGGGTCAATAGTGATGTACATGGATGCACGCTTTCAGTTAGTTTACGGTATGTGAAAGATCTCGTCAGTATTCTGAGGAGAACACACCCAGTACACGAAGACGCAGTACGTAACTTAGACCGGATAGTCCACGCGTTGCCTTTATAGCTCTGCTTTGGGGCTGTTCCAATAGGCGAATGTCTCGTTTTAACCATGGATACTAGGCCTGAAGTGCATACTCAACGTGAGTGCGAATATAGGAATTAATCAGTATTGGTACTAGCCGTCTCTCAAAGGTGCCACGCTTGCTGCTTTCGAACATTGGAGCGAATTGCCAAGATTGACTTGCACGATTACACCTAAGTCGCGTTCAATAGTCACGTGCTGTGGGACGTGTTACCCCAAAAGGTATGTGTTGACGCAGCTACTGCGCACCGTCAGCAGTGGGCAATTTGCAGGGTTCAGTGGGAGCTGGTTCGCTTCTGCCCATTCGTTAATCCGAGCCAAATCATCCTGAAGATAGACACGGTCGGATGCTGAGCGAATTGATCTCCATATTTTAGTATCTGGAATAGAATGTCTGCTGGAAGGTCATTAATGTAGACAAAAAATATTAGCCGGCCGAGGAGGGATCCTTGTGGTACACCACTGGGGACGCACAAGCTTTCAGAGGGGGTGTTGGCTACTCTTACCTTGATTGCTCTGTCGTGCAAGTAGTCTTCCAACCAGATGAGCAAGGAACCGTTGATACATAAGACAGCAATCTTTTGGAGGAGAACGAAGTGATTGAACCTGAAGAAATTTCAGTTGGCTGACAAAATGGCGGCCTATACCAACTAAGTCCCCACATGGCGTTGGCATGTTTGATATTGCCAAATAAGCTGGGCACAGATGAATACGCGCGAGCATTTTGTCACTTGGAAAAGACGCGGCTTCACAGTCTGCTTAGGTTTGCTGAAAGAGGAGTCAGATGCAAACAGTTGCAGAGATGCAGCGCATGTCAGCGCCTGGGATATCCGATTTGCTTGCGATGGCAACATAGTGACCCATTTGTCCTAGATTACGAAGATTGGGGCCACCAGAGAAACAGTAGTAGTAGGATAAGAAGCAGTTGATAGTCGGGGTCAATAAGCGCTGTGGTGATTTGTGTGCGGAGAGTTAAACCTCCGTGATACTGCCTTTTAATCATCGCAGAAGGAGATGGTATTGAGGGTAGAAATGGCATTATGAACAGTGGAAGAAAAATAGGATAAAAAGGAGATGCACCAGAAACGGACTGTTTCCATTTAATCACGCAGCTGTACTCAGAAAATGGGATGACGCTTACGAACCTGCGCAACGGTAGATACTTAATAATCTTGAACATCGATGTCCTAATGTTGTCTGTCAAGAGCGGGGACACGGTCAAGGAGCAAAACCTAGACAAGATTACGAGTCCGATCGACATGCACAAAAGGCATCGACAATACAGCAACAGCAAACAAAACGGTCCCTTTTCACGGAAACAAGCATCACACAACTTTCAATCGAAAATTTGAAGATAATGAGAATAAATTTGCTGGACTTTCATCCACTGCTCAGTCCGATGGCAGTATAAATCAGGACACTGAAGGGCGCCAGTTGATTTGATTTAGTGGATCGAAGAGGAAAGCAAGCTATCATATCAAGCGCGTTATGAATGAGACGCATTAGAAGCTAGGCGAAACATATCGACCAGAGGTAGCCAAGTTCTTTAGTAGCGTTAACTTCTTTCTTGCAATTCGGCGGAAGGTACTTTCGGTGCAGACCTTCTTAAGCTTATTTTACAAGTACCGTTACATCAGTTCGTGGACCTCCCCACTAGGTACATGGACGCCCAAGTACCGTCTAATTTGGACCTAGTTTTTGCCAAGTCCCTAGATTTCGTAGGTGACCACTTACGGCGCTCCCTTAGGTACCAGTGATCATGTCGGTTTATTATGCTCTGACCAGACATCACCAGAGCATCACTGAGCTATATCCAAACCAATGGTGTGCTATCAGGCAATACGTATCAAGGCTTCTGGGTTGCGTTTCGGTGGCCGATCCGGTTCAAACGGCCTGGGGTAAATGGAAGTCTTATCTCACGGTAGTGTCCACTCCCTACAGCCCACTTGTGAGGAGAAAAGAGACACCAGCACGACCCCTGTGGATAGATACCAGTGGCAAGTACCTGCTTCAGAAGCGTTCTAGGTACAGGATGACCTACCGTGCGGCTCCATCAACTAGCACCTATTGTAGGTACCGCGACGCTAGTAATATATGTAAACAACACTTAAGGAAAGCTCGGCTGTTGTAAGTAAAGGGAGGGAGGGATGGAGCATCGGAAAATCCGAAGTAGTTCTTCGCTTGTGTTAAGAGACGCTGTCGTTCAAATTCGGTGATTCCAACTTTGATGCGGGCCGATGGAACTCATGCGTACACGGACCCAGATAAGCCCCATGTACTTGGTGAGCAGAATGCAGGGGGCTTTTGCACGTGAGGCCGAGTTGACTAGCGTTGAACTTGTCAGCAGAGTCCCTGAGGTTTCTTATTTAGCTGAATATACGGTGGTGGAAACGCAAGTTCTTAAACTGCTGCAAGAACTGAACCATTCTAAAGCAGCTGGGCCTAATTCAATTCACCCGACGTTTCTGCATGAGTTGGCGGCGGAACTAAGTGGACCGCTAACGATAGTGTTTCAGAAGTCACTTGACAGCTGTACATTACCTTCTGAATGGAATGACGCTGTCATCTGTCCTACCTTCAAAAATGGCGACAGGAGTCTGTCAGCCAATTATAGACCAGTCAGTCTGACTAGCGTCGTGGTCAAACTGCTCGAAAAGCTGGTGAGAGATTCGTTAGAAGGTCACCTGAATAGATGTAATCTACTCAGTAGTGCACAACATGAGTTTCGGAAGGGGTTTTCCTGTCTGACGAATTTGTTGGTTTCTCGTGAAATCTGGACCAAGGTAGTGGACAATCGTCACATAGTGGATGTGCTTTTCGTCGGCATCTCGAAAGTATTTGATAAGGTACTCTACTTGAGGGCATCACAAAAGCTGAGCTTCTATGGTGTATCCGGCCGCGCTCTTCACTGGGCATCTGCAATCTTGCAGGGAAGAGAGCAGTGTGTACGCGTGGGTCGCAGCTTATCCTTAAGGTAAACGGTCCATAGCGGTGTCCCACAGGGCTCCGTCCTTGAACCGATGTTGTTCTTCATGTAAGTAAACGATCTCCCTGAGGAGCTTGGGGTATTATCGTTATTGTTTGCTGATGACCTTAAGCTGTGGAATGTGTTAAATGTCCCTGAGAGTTCTGAGACCATTCAGCATGCCCTGGACAGACTATGGGATTGATCTACTTTGCGGCCACTGCCAGGTAAGCAGGCTAAGTGTTCCGTCCTTCGCATAAGAGCAACCTTCCCTCCTTTGAGATACATGCTCGGTGGGGTCGAACTCCCCTTGTCTACAACCAGGTAGACCCAGACGTCCTCCAATCACCGTCTTTGCATTCTGGTAACAACTGGAAGGTTGCAAGTAGGGATATCAGGATGTCGTTAATATGCCGTTCTTTCGGAGTCTTAAAGTCGGTGTATTTGTGAAGCTGGTCTCAGCTTTCGTTCGGCCCCACCTAGAATACTGCGTCCAGGCTTGTCTGCCCTGCCTTGTTCGGGACAAAATGGAACTCGAGAGGGTTTTGAAAATAGGTAGCAAATTTGTCGAGAGGTTATGGGGGCAAAGGTATCCCGAGCGCCTACTAATCATATATATGTATTCAATGCACTAACGACGACTTCGAGGAGACCTAATTCTTACTTACCGCATTTTAGCAGGGAAGGTTGGACCGGACTTGAGCTAGCAATTTAGCCCGGCTAGGTTACCTAGTCTTCGCCTTCCGACCGGATCAGGGCGGAAACTCGGCTATCGCGTAGAGCTATCGAGCGCTGGTACGCTTCCAGAAAGTGTAATCAGTGAACCTAAGGTGAAGGGCTTCGAGAGTCAGTTGGACGCTCTTGGGTGGCAACATGAAACCTTTCCTTTCTTCTGACCATATGAATCTTCCAACTTTGAGTTCATATGCTGTCATTCTCCTCACCCTTTGGTATTATCCATGACTTTCCCTTCTCTTTATCATTTTGTTTTTCTACCTCTTCCTTACTTCATGTGACCTGCACAGCGGGGACTGATAGTGCAGAGGTGGGTTGAAATTGGTTGACCATGGTTGTGGTTCAGGTGTTTCGCTTTATATCCATCAAGACATCGTAGCGTCTTATCATTTTCTGGCCCAACGATCTGCTTAAAAAGGAACACGCAAAGGATTTTCCCATCGTTCCAGTCCCATCTGAATTTGAAAAATATCTACAGCCGAAGCTATTGGAGTAATGGGGAGTATCATCCATCGACAGTGGTAACGGTGGTGAAAATAAAAAGCGTTAACCGCAAATTGATTCCAATTGAAAAGTGTGTCTTTGGTTACTTCAAGATTGCAATGGATGTGTGGTATAAGAGAAGCGCCTCATAACCCACGGTTTAGGGCATTTCATTCAATCTTGACGTATTCCTAAACACAAATTTATTCGCTAAAGAGGTCACAATTCACTAAGCTGAGCTTGCTGATCGATAGACCGACACATTGTAAAATGGGAGGTCGGAGGCTTATAAAAAGTGAACATTTTGCTCAGGTAAGCACAATAATGATCTGTCAAAAAAGTCATTTAGTGACAAAAAAATTCTAGCTGTCTAGACAGATGTAAGGGTGGGACAATCGAATGTATTAAAGAAAAAAACTGATATTCCTTACATCACGTGGTTGCTCCTGTGCTGGCGATCAATACGCTCACAGAAGCGCATTCCATCAACAGTGACGCCGAAACACCGCAAATCACGTCCAAAAAGCTTCCAAACCTTTGTTGCGAATTTTACATTGTCATGAAGACAAGCATTCCTCTTGTCACGAGTGTACCAGTTGAATAGGATGGAAAAGATGAAGCTCCGGAGTGCGATAGGTAAGCAGTGCGCTGGTATACATGAGGAGTTTACGTCGACCAGTCCAGAATACAAGTCACGAGCAAAACGTGGGGGTTGACGAGATAAAAGCGAACACGTACAGTCGCTCAATGGAGGGCCGATTAGTTTGGATGGACTAAAACCAGAAAAAGATGAAGCTGGATAAGTTGGCCCCGTGTCGGTAAACATAGATAGATGAGTAAACTGTGCTGTTCATACCACGAGGATATGCTGTATTGGAACAAACTACGTGCGTCTTGTCAGCGGAATGACGAAAACTGCACAACAGAAACCAGGGAGGTAAGTTGAAAAATATCCGGTGATAACGGGACTGATCAAAGCACAGATGATATGTCGAAACAGTTGACGAATGGCGCACCAAGTAGTAGAATAATACTTGGACTAAAGCTTACACAAATGCAGGTAAACTACACCGCGGCACCGGCTCAATCGGCCGAACATACCCAGCGCGGTAAATGACCACCAGGCTATCTTGTCTCATCCATTACGCGAAGGCCGTGAACACTAGTCCGAACTAGCAATGCGCAAAGTCGCCGTGACTAGAGAGTGCGTCTAGTGCGGTAACTTTGTTAGTAAACATTGGTATGCCTCCACATCAACGATGATCATCAAATGTGAGAGCACCGCACGATGACCAGCAATTAGGTAGCATCAGACGACCAGCGGTGCCTTCGTAATTTAGCTCACATTTGGTGGGAACACCGCGTGAGCAACGAGCGTGTTCGACGCCTTGTTTATGGCACAGGAAAAGGAAATGAACCGCTCAGCACTGTCATTTCACGCACCAGACTCCGATGGCTCGGCCACGTGTTACGCATGCCAGCCCACCGACTCCCGCGACGTGTGTTGTTTGCGCGCCGGGGGTGTGGATGAAAGAAGAGGAGGGGTAGTCAAGCGATGACTTGGTCCAGAGGAATGAAGGCCCTCACTTCTGAGCTGGCCTCGGTTGGAGCGTCTCGGCTCCCTGGTTGGGGTCCGAAAGACGATGAACACGTTTGGTTGGACACACTTGCTGACATGGCAAGGAGCCGACCTCAGTGGCGTTCGTGCTGTGAGTTTCTTTGTCCCACCCCATCCCTCTTAGCCTCCCCCTCCAACCACGATCTCATTATTTAGCCTTACACAATTTTGCATAATAATTTTTTTTGGGTGAACAGCAGCCGGCTGGTAGCTTACCGGAACGATGCCCATCCGTTACCGGTAGCTCAGCCAGCTTGCACCAGTTGCATTTTTCTCCTTTTTTCTATATATTGCGGCACAGTAGCTGAGGTGTTCCCCACCTCTAGCTAACGTGTATGATGATGATGATGAGGTAGCATCAGATGTGACTGAAGTTGCGTAAACCATGGGGGATAAGGACGGTAAACATTAAAGACGGAAGAAACGACCCAACAAACAAAAGACCTCGTGGAAAGGGGAATACGTGGAATTGACGCAAGGGTGCAGATGTTTGAAATGTTAGTGGCCGTATCAAGCAAGGAAGCGAGAAGGAATGTTACACATGCATAACTTTCGTCAGTGAGATGGTAGCATGGGCAGTCTTCTCTAGAGATTAGCGGTGAAAACATTTCAGGAGAGAGTGAATTGCTAGTCGACGTTCATGAAGTCCAGTAAATGGTTTCCGGTACATTGACGGAGTTAGTGATCGAGATGTATGGTTACTGAATAGGAGGGGGGCTGTCAAGTTCAGTGAATTCTGAACGCTGAGTATGAACCTGTCGGGAAAACAATCCCGGATGTTTGGAATATAAACTTGTGGATAAATGCGAAGTAACGAAATGCGTTAGTTCCAGGAGAGAGCGATGCTAGCGGTTTTAAACTTTGGTTGAACATCCCATGGTGAATGCAGTGTCATTTTATTCTCCAAGCTGTGCTAAAAATAATGTCACACTATCTCCCATGTGGGTGAGGAACAAGACATTCTGCGATGTAATCCAAAGAACTAGAAATAAAACACAGCGTTGCAAAGAGATTTCTTTTCGGTAGTTCACATCAGGCAATTACAACTACAGGACTGATAAATGCAATAGTAAACTGGTGAAGGCAACAATGAGGACAAATGGGACGATTTGAACAGATTTAGCATGTTCGTTTGATGATCGAATCGATGTAATCAGGTGACGTCGTGATAGGGCTAACCGACAGCAGAATAACTTGTGTAAACAGAAAAGGCAAAAATACTAACCTTATAAAATTAGTTAATTACGTAAATAAATAGCACCCGGTTATGCGTGATACTCCGGTGAAACTTCTCATCAGGGCCATGGCAAAGTCAAGGGTTGCACAAGCACCCTATGCTTGCATAGCTCTGGTTGTGTTAGCCGGATCGCGATGGCTTCAGCTGTCTGCAAGAGACGTTTCCTTAGCCCTTTCGGGTATCGCCTCGGTACGGCATAATAGACTTTGAAAGCATCTTTTGTCAAAATCTGATGCCTACTTAGAATCAGATGTTCCATGATCGAGCTGTTGGTACTTCTGAGCGTGCCTCTCCGCAGTGACCCTGGACAATTTTCAGCCATTCGTACCGACAGACGCCTGGTCGTATGCTCGAGGTACTTGGCACCACAGGTGCAAGTAAGCTGGTAAACGATGTACGATTCGGACGACACTGGCTGTCTGTCTGACATGTCCGCTTCGGCACACCACTTAGTTGCGAAATGGATTGTGCAGTTATTGGAACCTGTACGTAAGGAACTCTCTATTCATTCTTTGAAGAATTCTTTCGAATTCGTTGACAAAGTTAAAGACCTGAAGTTAAATGGTAAACAGATGTTTTCTTTTGATGTAGAATCCATTTCCACAAACGTCCCAGTGCTGGAAACTGTTAATTTCATCTGCGAGTATATAACGGAAAGGAACCTAAACGTTGGCATTCCAGTGCCTAAGCTCAAGGAGTTAATTTTGCGGTGTACCTTTAATAGACAATTCTTGTTTGACGGAATCTATTACAGGCAAATCGATGGCGTGGCGATGGGGTCCCCCCTTGGACCTCTCCTTGCCGACATCTTTCTCGCTAAGCTTGAGCGTGGTCCCATCCAAAGGCTTATTGCCTCATTTGATTCTTATTGGAGGTATGTGGATGACACTTTCATCATCTGTGATTCTCACATTGATGTCAACCATTTGCTCGACCAGTTCAACAGTGCACATCCCTTCACTAGTTCACTAGTGAAATGGAAAATGAAGGTAAGCTGGCTTTTCTGGACGTTTTGTTGAGGAGGCGCGAGGACGGATCACTTGAGCGTAGTGTCTTCCGCAAAGCTACATGGGTTGGACAGTACACACTTTTCGAGCTTCGTCCCTCTGAAGTACAAATGCAACTTAGCGCGTTGTTTGAATTACCGGGCCACCAAAATTTGTAATCCGGAAACGCTCGAGGGTGAGAAGGACCGAATTGTGAAACCACTTTTTGCGAATGGATACCCTGAGCCATTCATCAAAAAAGCACGCCATGACCCGTGAGCGCGATAAGCCCGTAGCAACGGTTCCGAAGAAGGATGTGTTTCTGTTCCTTTTAAAGGAGATATCGCCTTCGATCTCCTGAACAGGAGACTTTCTAATGCCATAGCAAGGACCTACCCGGCCGCCCACCCGCACGTAGTTGCAGAGACCGCTCCCTTCATAGCTCAACGTCTTAAAGACAGACTGCCAGTGTCGTCCGAATCGTACATTGTTTACCAGCTTACTTGCACCTGTGGTGCCAAGTACCTCGAGCATACGACCAGGCGTCTGTCGGTACGAATGGCTGAAAATTGTCCAGGGTCACTGCGGAGAGGCACGCTCAGAAGTATCAACAGCTCGATCATGGAACATCTGATTCTAAGTAGGCATCAGATTTTGACAAAAGATGCTTTCAAAGTCTATTATGCCGTACCGAGGCGATACCCGAAAGGGCTAAGGAAACGTCTCTTGCAGACAGCTGAAGCCATCGCGATCCGGCTAACACAACCAGAGCTATGCAAGCATAGGGTGCTTGTGCAACCCTTGACTTTGCCATGGCCCTGATGAGAAGTTTCACCGGAGTATCACGCATAACCGGGTGCTATTTATTTACGTAATTAACTAATTTTATAAGGTTAGTATTTTTGCCTTTTCTGTTTACACAAGTTATTCTGCTGTCGGTTAGCCCTATCACGACGTCACCTGATTACATCGATTCGATCATCAAACGAACATGCTAAATCTGTTCAAATCGTCCCATTTGTCCTCATTGTTGCCTTCACCAGTTTACTATTGCATTTATCAGTCCTGTAGTTGTAATTGCCTGATGTGAACTACCGAAAAGAAATCTCTTTGCAACACTGTGTTTTATTCTTCCATGTGCATTACTTATGGACTAGAAATAGTTGCATTTGAGTGATGGTAAAATGTCCAAAGGTACAGTGAAAGATGATTTGCCACGGGAAAAATACAGGTTCTTGATAAGTCCTGTGGGATGGTTGGGGTGAATACTACAAGGTCAAAAAGCATGGAAATAATCTGTTTAAGGATCCATCGAGTTAAGTGGGTTGCTTGATAAGGATAGTACAAGATAAGAAATGGATGGAAGCATTAAAAAAAATACGGGGTGCAGTGATCGTTGACTTAAAGCATGTGAAAAATAAAGTATGGTCGCTCAATCATGTGCCGCCAACTTGGGTCAATGTGACAAATAAATGAGGTAGATGGGCATGATGAATGTAGTCCACACTGGCACTAGGAATAAGGAGCAACAACTAACGTTTGTTGAAAATATTCAAAGTAAGGGATGGGACAACCGAGTTTCAAAGGGAATTCCAGGCTTGGCAAGCCCAAAGGGAAAAAATTCCGTTGACATGCTGGACGAAGTGTACTGTGCACTCAGTTTCAGGCAGTTACCTCTGAAGTTGCTGTTATAGCAAATGGCGGCATATAAGGTTAGGGTGATCCACTATTTCGTAATAAATCAATAAACTGTATATATGCCAGCGATGCGCGAAGCAGTTCCCTAAAATGAACAGACAAAAAATTATAAATTTTTTCCATGTTATTGCATAAATCTGTAAAAATATATGAGCAAAAATGTTAATTAGGCAGCACGAAGTAATTCGATTTGATGTGCTGGTTTTTTCGACCTATCGACGAATCAGGATGCTTCACAATCATATGACAGGTGTTCGGACCGGGAAGAAAAATGAAATGAAGTGAGAGGGGCTGTGTTCTAAAAAGTTCATCTAGCCCGGACACATGTGCTGTTCGTAATTTAGTCAGACGCCAACGATATCGTTCCAGAAAGTGTGAACAAAGGATTGTGCTGTTCCAAACATATTACCTGCCATTTTGACGGTTAACCGCAGTACAACATGGCACATTAATATGAGAACAACGAGTAGCCGTCGGTAGCATTCGCTGAAAACCCAGTAACTTCAGCCTTTGCTAGTAAGAGCAACTGCGTAGGCCCTTGAGATTGTTTGGTGCGCTGCGTTGTGGTCGCGTTTCGACCAAGGTTACGAAGCTTGGATAATGCATTCAACGTAAGCGTGTACCTAAGAGTTGTGCAGCACTAAGGAAATTGATGGATCACATCTCCCAAATTCCCTTCGCAGCAGGCCGCGTGTGGCTGCCTCGTTTTGCAGCTGTCTCAGACTGCTTTGAATAGTTGAGGCCATCCTGTATGAGCACACTAAGGTCACGTTTCTGGAAGCTGATCTGAAATCTGTGCGCTCCTGGCTAATACATGTAGTTACGCCTGTGGAATAGTTAAACAACGCGACATTTGTTTACACTGAACTGTAGGGTATTATGAGCTGACCAGTTCGAAATCGTATTAAAATCACGCTGGAGCTGTTCTTGGTCGTCTGATCCTCAGATCAGCCACCATATTTTAATATCATATGCGAATAATAAATAATCGGAAAAAATGCTCTCGCTAAATCGGTGAGATCCCAGCACCGAGTCTTGGAGTACACCACGCTCCCTCTCAATTGCGTCGAACAGGATTGCTCGGACTCTCATCTCCAACCGACGATCATGTTGAAAATTTCTTATCCAACGAAGTATTGGGTCGCCGAGTGTTCCAGATCAGAATGTGTTCTCCTGCTTCTCTCCGTCTGCTTGTATGCCGTGAGTGCAGTTGCGTCGGCCTCTCCGCGGGACTGTGGAAACAAAAGAAGTACTGAGGCTGCAAATTCCAGAGAATTGCTGACCACTCTTCGCCGTGCGCCTGCAACCTGGCGGAGTACCTCAACCATTTATTCAATAGGGCTTGTGTCATTCCTTCGGAGTGCAGTAGCCCTTGTACCTAGGCGATGAAGGAATTCTAATCAGTGATTTAGCCATAACACTGTACAGAGAGAATGCTTCGCGGAAGTAACACCACTGCTCTCGGTCATGTGTTTGTGTTGCGTGATCAGGAAAAGCCGGAACCTCGGGAACACCATAAACAAATATAGTTTTCTGGTTATCGCTTTTGGGATGGCCACTTTAGTTATCCGCTTTATTAGGGCGATCTATCCAAAGATGGGAGATTAATAAGTGCACCCCGTTCGGTGAGTCATGAAGATGAACTACTTAGAGCAGGACAGTCTTTGTCTCATCTGCTGAGTGCAGAGTAACCCGAAGAATGCGAGGTTTACCATAGTTCACTGAGGTCAGGTGCCGCGCTATGCGTCTCAGAATAGTGGGCAAAACCTAAATACCAATCGGGTCACAGATGGTATTCCACTGATTGTGATCATCTAGCAACCAGTCCTTCATTGTGACAGATTTGGACTCTAAACGTTAGAGCATACGAGAGTTAACGCACCGGCAGTCTGTCTAGCGAAGGTCGGCTTGAAAATTGCTGCTGGTGAGTTGGGCTGTTTTTGAGGCGTCACCGGAGTTGACGATGAAATCTGAGTCGCCCCGCGTGTGCTCGGTACGAAAGATGGAGCTACGTGTGTCGCTCTCGCTGTGTTTGTTGATGCGACCGATGCGTACGTTACCCGTTTTCTCTGCAGTGGATTACCTCAGTGTCAACCGAATAGTTAGGTGTATCTTCCATGAATGGGGTAATAGCTGCCATGCCGAGTGTGACTTGATCGATTAAGGAGTTAAGATGTGTCAAAGTAAGTGGTGCGATTAGCAACACTGATTTTGCTCTTTACCTAGTGATGGAGCTCAGAGAGGTTTGCCGTGGAACAGAAGCGGTTTTCTTCGATTCCAATGGAGAGACACTGAAACTCGCCACCTGCTCAACTGTTTCAGTCCAATGTTACATTTTTTCATGAGCATAATTATACAAATGGCAATTGGGATAACACTTCAGGCTTCTTTGATTTTAGCTGAGTTATGCCAGCAGACAGTGTGGAATGCAATAGCATAGTTAAAGCAGACCAGCCTTGTCATGACTACACGGGTATATTTCGATTGTTCACAATTACCACTAAGAGGAATCATGGTCGGTGACGGCTGTTGTGGGAACCGAACACAGCACTCATCCGTTCAGGTGGGATAGAGAGTGAGTGATTCTCAAGTACGTTGTCACCATCGCGCGGTTGCTCGCAGCTATCGTAGGCGGGTTTGTCACTGAAATGAAGCACGCACACATTTTAGCTGCTTTTCGAACGACACTGATTCACTCGTTAACGCGGCTTGTAGTGGGTGGACGTCAGTAATGGTAGAATACAACCGGAAGTCACAAATGGAGTCGTAATTTCCTTAGAAATGGTCCTGTAGTAATTCTGGGGTCACTGGATAGCGCAGAGAATCCTTGATCGAATACAGTTTCGCAGCTGTGCGAGTAGTTAAAAACAAGGTTGCACGCGTGAACCCTAACACGAGACGTGATAAAACAGTTTGGGCTGTAGAAATCACAATCCGTAAAAACGGACCCACTGAATACAGGAAGCAACCCCGAATCGATTCAGTGTGGTGAATGCGCTAAAGTGAAGATGGAGCAAGGAAAACGCTTGACAGAGAAGGGTGTATTAGTCAGGTAATCTACAATAGTGTGAGACAGAAGCAGTAAGTAGGATTTTGAAGTAAACTGTGTGCGATTGGATTATGACGCGCAATCCCAGTGAGGAATGTGATTCGCATTGAAATAAGTAGGAGGTTGCACAACAGGACTTTTACTAGTGAATAAAATGAGAGATCTTCTGCACGCATTGAACATGAACAGTACGAAGCAGGTTAGTCCGCTGGCAGCAGAAATCTCATTGCTATCGAAATCGGACACAATTATTACTAAAATGGGAAAACTAGTCAATGGAATTTCCATCTCCCGCTGAACAAGGAGTGGGATGATGTCGTGGTGAAATGCTAATGTGCGAGGCAAACCAGACTCACAAGATTATAGGTGAGTCATGAAAGAAAGGCCCGCGAAAAGCTTGAAACTAGAGTAACAGACGATCGTCGGTGAACATAATTGTGTTTTATCCTTGAAATACATAGGGGAATTAGAGCACAAGGTGCAGGTGACGATAGAATATGAACCTGCAAGAGACGCTTCCGAAGACGCTGATCTGTTGAGTGAGAAAGAAGATATGAACTAATATGCCACAATCTAACCGTCAGGTACATCATGCGCTTTCCTGTCAGGTAACTTGGTACGAAAAATCAGTCTCACCAAAACTGGTGTGATGTAACAAGCGTTCGCGCCCATTCTGACCAAGTTGGCCACACGCTGTCCAACGGCTCATCGCGGTTCCGATCCAAAGGCCACAAAACACTCGTTCCGGTCAACTTGCGCGAACCCGCGAGACGAAAATTGCGATTACGAGTGTAGACGCCGGTATCGCAAATACTACGCGGAGGATCACCTTCGACTGTGTGGACGAGACAACATTTGGCATCTGTTGGGGTTATCCCATCTGTGGAAAACAGCATCGCGGCCAGGTCCTCCGCAAATTTATTACAGACGTGGCACAGCAGCGCAGTACCGGAAAAGTTGCTTCCAATGGACTCTTCAGAAGCCAAAATTGACAGAGCCTGACACACGAGAGGGATAAACTGACCTGTAAGGGTGGCGATGAAAATCCAATTTAGGGAGTGAAAAATGCAGTTAATGGCACTATAAGTTCAAGAAAGGGTAATGAATAGGAATACAGCTGGTCAATTTATCTGGGAAGTCCACTCATCCATGACCGCCCATGTGAAGATGATTATAAAGAAAACGGCCACACAAGTTAGGTGATATCCGCGGAAAATGTGTTGTAGGGACATTGTACGCTCAGTGGTGAGTCATACCTATGGTCGGTACTAAGCGGCACCGGACACGCTAATTTCACAAACCAAGATTCTACGGATAAGCCTGTCGGAAGGCACTAACATGCACTTGATTAGCGAGTTTGCGTCACCGGTTACTAGATTTCTTGTAAGCCAGCCTCACGTTACACTAACACCAAAAGAAATCAACCGTGACTGCTTTCCAACTAGGTAGATAGTCATTTGCTCGAGTCACCGCTCTACACAGGTTGCAAGGGGAACAATTCAAGACCCGCATGCGGCTATGGAGAAAGTTGCACTGGTTGGTAACACGACTACCATCTCAATAGCAGAGGAAAAAAGCAAGGATGCGGCGAAGAGTTTTCAGGTAACGCGTCTAATAACAGTTGAATACCAACGGCATCAGAAAGCATGGCTGCTACGACAATTTTAAAGATTAGTATGGGAAATAAACACTAGAATTCCCACGGTGGACCATGCAGAAAATTCGGAAGGTTGTGTTGTTAGGCATACTCAGTAAAATAGGAGAAAATCGGTCGGATGTTTAAATAACAAGTCAAGTCACATGAAGCCAACGAATGGTATGTTGTGTGATCCCCCACAAGAGCCCATCGACTCAGGTGATGGAAAGCAATGAGCTGGGGTCAGAAAACGGATGGTCAACTCGAATCCTACGCAAGAGGAGGGAAATGTGTCAAGAGAGGCTATGGGTATAGTATATTAACTACTGCAGTGAGAAATAAATGGGAAAAGTTGGCAATGAGCTGTGAACGTGCTGAAGTGGCTACTGCGACGTAGACATGGTTTCCTCCGAGCGACACGATTAGTGACTGGCTATTTGACTTCGCAGGATACCGAACAGATCGACCTGGGCATCAGACTGGCGAAGTCTTCGTGCCTATAAAACACCAGTATAATCCTGGGGATGCACAATTTAACATGAGTACTGCAAACATTTAGGTGGAATCTTGCTTTCTGTGGGTGAGAAGTAGGCTGGAGATCTATGTGTCTACTGCAGCCCAGCCTTCATAGGAGAGGAGGGTAAAGAGCTTGGCACCTTACTGAGGCGCGCGGTGTTCGTTGCGCTTAACTTCCCGATCGTTGTGGAACTACACCTTTCACATGTTGAATGACAGAGCCGTCAAAAGAACGGATACCGCCGAGCAAGAACGGATAGGATGGATGTACAAGAATGTATTTAAACAATACGCCAGTGTTTCCATCAAAAATGGCATCGGGAGTGCTGCTTCCAAGCTGGTTGACTGGATCGCTAAACACCGCGACTTGACAGAACTGCGCTTGGATGCACCTACAGGTAAGAATGATCATTGTGTTTTCACTTGCTCCTAGAACACACTGAAGTTTGCACAGAAGTCTCGATTCGTGAAAACCTGCAGTCTAATCGATTATCTAAAATAGTAGAATAGGGCTCTTCAAATTAACCGGATTCCTAGCCAGGAACTTGCATCCTTGACACAGAGATGGTACTTGCTAAAAACTGGGTTCTTGCGGCTACTGGGCACTAATATATACTAGCTTAGTCTGGTCCTATTTGCGAAAAAGAATTTCAAGTGTCGTTACAGTTATTTCCCATCAGACTTCCCTAAGAGACTCAGTCGGTTGTATAAACAAGATGTATAAAACGGTGATAAAGTAGAAGTGCTGCTACGCGTGTTCCAGAAACTGCGTCGTAAGGACAAAGGTGTGAAGAACCATCGCAACCAAACTGCGCAAGCAGCAATATAATGCAGAACATTGTTCTAACCACACCAGAAGTCTTCAATGTATTGACTAGCCTGAACAAATTCTACAGCGCGATCTCGGTGTGCTCGCACAGGAGGACCTGGGTTGCTTAGGGCAGACTGAAAAAAGGCATCAGCAATACGCCGGTACGCAGGACCGACTCTTCGCTGCCGCGAAACCACGGCCAGTCGTACGCTGGCCAAGGATACTGCGAGGGTCACCGGGTCTCTATGAAGGTACGAACCCGCGTCCTCGGAATACAAGGAAGGCTTGTGATCCTAAAGGCTACGGCCGGCTCCGAAGTGAGCAAGTCAACACTTTGGCCTCCGTCGTAGGGCGTTCGGGAAGCTCAGCACAGATGACTTATAGCTAGTCAGCAGATGCAATCGAACAGCAATGATCATAGGTATCATTAATGTGGTTAATTGGTCCAACCAATAGAACTTGTCCCTGAATGCCAATCAATGTCAGATATTGACCACTAGCGGCGACGGAACTGCAGTGCAGACTTCTTCGGGATTTCGCTCCGTGCATAATCTCTATCAGGCACGCGATTTAGACATCAGTATGGTGAGCAGCTTTAAGCCTTCGGCGGAGTGTCATCAGAGTGCCAACAAAGCGCGATAATAAGTGCTTCGCCTCAGGAAGGCGCTGTGTAACACCAATCCATAAGTTCTTGTGCCATTATACAAAGAAGCGGTTAGACTAAGTCTGTAATACGATGTTCAGGCTTGGGTGTCGCCTAGCCGCAAGACCATAATTTGCATGCAAAATATTAAGAAACTGGTCAACGTAGAGAGCCGCATGAAAATCTTCGAAGAAGCTTAGAAATGTTTTTCTTGGAGCGGCGTAGATTGAGAGGAGATCTGACAGAGACGTACAAGATAATGAAATGCCTCAGTGGCATCGATCATACCTATTTAGACTGGCTGTTTCAAAACACCTGCGCGAACATCGATGGAAGCTGAGAAAACAGAGGGTGAGACCCGATAACATGACGAAAGCTACTACAAATTGTTTCCCAAGTAGCTATAAAAAAAACTTGCTTTCCATGTTATGGACTGGGAGAAGGAAGCAGCCACCAGAAAAGAGCCAGATCCTTTCCCTGAACAACTAGAATGGAACTGAAATTTGTAGCAGCGGGACATGTTGTAAAATCTGAGAATGATAAAGGAAAATGTAAAGAATGCCCTCGTAATTGCTTCACGTTTCATTACTGAAGCAAACAGAGCCAATTAAACTTCCAATTTGGAGAAATAGAGACAGCTGTTAGTTCCTTTTAGCAAAGTGAACAGTGCGGTATCTTTCACACCGTAACATATATATATATATATTTAATTTGGGCAATTTTTACCTTATCGCGGATTCGTTGCTAACCAACTTGCTTCATATGCTAATTTAGCGACCGTAATTTAGCCAGCGCATCTGTATGCATTATTGGACTTGTTTTTATTTCATCTTGTCGTTTCAAGTGATTGGCTGTTGCTTGATATCCCCAGTGGGGCTGAGCTTGATGTGCATGTTGACAAGGTGCCTACCTGTCTATTACCCACTATCTCGTCCATACTGGTTCCAGGAGACAGCTGGTCACGCCAAGCTCGGTCCGGTGCATATCGGGTGTACATTTTATCGAACTCTTTGGTCGAGGACCCCAGTAGTTCCCTGTGCAAGTGTGGACGCCCTGGTTGCACACCAGCCTAAAACCAAACCATGAGAGACACAAACAATGGTAATGTCCTGATGCAGCGGCCGTCGCGCAGTGGCCTTAGGAAAACGGTCGCCTTATCTGCTGCATACAGCGGGGTGGATAAGCGAAAACATCCTAGCACTGACGCCTCTTCTCTGTACTTCCCCTGCACATACTATCTCCGTCCCCATTTCACCTAACCCTTTAGTTCCACCAATCCAGGTAACTACGGGTGCGATTGTCAGCCACCGCAATCGTACGCATCCGCGCAAAGCGCTCAACATCGTGTGCTGGAACGTGCGCACACTACTCGACCGGCACACGAGTGAGCGACACCAGCGACGAAAGCCACTGGTCCCGATGGAGTTTGCGCGCTAGGGAATCGAGGTTGCCGTACTCAGCGAGACACCGCCCGCTGACCAAGGCAAGCTGCATGAGACTACTGATGAGTACACCTTCCACTGGATAGCAAACGCCACCACAGCACAATGTAAACATGAGATCGCATTTGCACTATCCGACGGCCAGCTGGTGGGGGAGCCCACTCGCATCAGACCATGGTTAATGGATCCTCGCATGCGACTTTGAAGAAATAAGTTGTCACCTTTATTAGTAAGTATGATTCCACCATGTGCTATCCGGATGATACGCGTGATCAGTCCTATACTCAGATATCCTCCTTGATACGGTCTGTGCAGAGGAGCGGCTGCCTATCCTTACTGAGCGATTTCAAAGCCCGCGTTGGGCGTGATGCAGCAGTGTGGATAGACGTAATCGGTCTGCATGGTATTGACACAGCCAAGGGGAACGGTGACTAGCTGCCTTCATTGTGTGCCACACACAGCCTGAAGATCAAGAACACCTGGTTTGCAATGGGTACGAGTGATATAGCTATTTGGACGCGCCCACTGATTGCACGCGTTCAATTGCTGGACTATGTCAGCGTACGCCGTGATACGCGTGAACTGCGCATAACACGTGTACTGCGTGGAGCCGACTGTGGCACTGCTCTCACCAGTTGGTGCGGACCAAATTGTACCCATCTTTGCGTAAACCTATGTGTTGCACTCCTGCTATGAACTGGTGTAAATATAACGTAATTTCCCTAGGTATTCCTAAGAAGAGGATAGAAATAGAGAAGATTATGGCTACCCGTTTTCCTTACGTCGAATGCATCGACTCAGTGAGCGAGCTGAGGCACCACATCCGTGAACAGGTGATGGCTACTGCCGAGGAAACGATCGGGTGCGCAAACTGTAAGCGGACTGATTGGTTTGATGGCAACAGTGCGACCAATGGCGAAGCAGCATTTGCTGCACGCGTGGAAGACCCTGCTGACTGCGAGAAGAGACACTTTCG